ATTTACCTGGTGCGAGTAACACTATAGCAGATGCTTTATCTCGTTTTCAGATACACAAATTCCAAGAATTAGCACCAGAAGCCGAGAGAGAACCAACACCTTGTCCGTCACTGGCAGAGATCCTTTGGACTGCACAATAGACAGTTTGTGGAATTATTCACTTTCTAGTAACACCAGTAGTGTGTATAATACAGGAATCGAATTATATACAAGATTTCTATTATTAGATGGATCAACTTGGGATAAAGACCGTCTCCCACCTGTGTCAGAAAACTTGCTTATGCGCTTCGTAGCATATTGTGCCGAACACAAACAATTATGTCATTCAACAATTAAATTATATTTATGTGGCATAAGGTTTCATTTTTTAAAGTATGGAGGTTTTAATCCATTAATTAGTTTTGGAAAGCCTCTTGAGTGTCTTAAAACAATTTTAATTGGTTTAAAGAAAAAACAGGGGTCTACTGTCAAACGCAAACGTTTACCTATAACTATGTCAATTTTGTCAAAAATGTGTAAATTACTACATACATGTATTTTTGGTAATTTCAATAGTATTATGTTAGAGGCTGCCTGTACAACAGCCTTTTTTGGTTTTTTAAGATGTGGTGAATTCACTGTAATGAATCAGTTTGATCCTGAATGTAACTTATGCTGCAGTGATATGCAAATCACTGCTGACTGTATTTTTGTAACTCTTAAAAAGTCTAAAACTGATCCTTTTAGACAAGGTATTACTATTCCACTTTACAAAACAGGTTATTCTATTTGTCCTGTTTTATCTATATTGAAATACAATCAGTTGAGGCAGTCTGTGTACTCTTCTAATACTGAGGCCTTTTTCATTTCTGAAGATAGGAAACCTTTAAACAGAAAATTTTTCATTTCACATGTCAAAATTTTACTCGACAAATTAGGCTTATCTAGTGACTCCTACAATGGACACTCCTTTCGAATTGGTGCAGCTACATCTGCTCAAGAAGCCCGTCTTGAAGATCATTTAATTCAAACACTTGGTAGATGGTCATCTAATTGTTACACAAGATACATTCATACTTCTCCTAATGTTCTTAAAAATGCTCAAAAACAATTAGCAGAGACAGACAGAAGTTAGGTTAAATTGTACTGGCAACAAAGGTTCCCCATCCCACTTGGGGGCTACAGCTGCTTCACACCTGTATTTGGCCAATTCGATACAAATTCTACACATTAGCCTTTGTATCTTATCCCCCAAGTTTTAATTTTTATATTTATATGAAAAGGGGGATAACTCAATTTTAATTTCTAAAGTGTCAAACAGCTGTTAGTCCCCAGTTTTTCCAAGTTGTAATTTGTTTATGTAAATATGTATATATGTTGTTAGATTAGAATGCTTAGTTCGTAATAAAATGTTTCTTTTATCCTATTGTTGTTAACATATATAGATTCAAAGTATGAGAGAGGTGCTGGTATAAATCCGTGAGACAGCAAAAACGAATAGAATCTTGTATACATGTTCTTAGAAGCAGCATCAGTTCAAACTTGGCAATAGTTTATTTAATACTGCAGTATAGGACTTATAAGTTGGTATAGTTTGCTCAGGTCACAATGTTGTTGGTCTTTAAGTCATGCAAGAAATAGTAATAGGTTGGTAAAGTTCAAAAGATTGGCTTTCTTAATACATGTATCCAGTTCTGTTATTGTGGTATATGACATGAGACATTTACTAGTTTGTTCGTACATGTAGATATCTGTATATTGTCTTCATTTTACATTTGGAAATAACTGGTCTATAAATGGCAATTATGTATATAATTATAGTTTATAGTTGTTTTTTCCCCCTGGTGCCCCTCTTAAGGAATTTCATCCGCGTGGTCATTCCAGCCTCACTTTGGTACAATGTACAAGACGTCTCAGATTTCAATAACCTCTTTGTTCCTTTCATGTGCAGAGCATAGTTCTCGTTTGAAAATTTATATCTAGAATTTCATCACCCACCGCCATCCCCTACAATCGCCTTTGTTGTCAGTGCCTCTGGGGACAATTAATTTTTATAGAAACTAATAGTTAATTTTTATGGACATACATGACACTATATATTTCTTATTATTTTTAGTAGCATTTTTGCGTTGTTTATATTACTTACTTATCCCATGTGTATTTTTGTTTTATTATCCATGCTAATGTTTGGATTTTTCTGTTGTTGATTTGATATCCATGCTGACGTATAGATTTTTTATGCTTTATTGTCCATGCTAACTTATGAAATTTATGTTTCTTACTATCCATGCTGACGTATGGAATTCATGTTTTTTCAATCCATGCTGACGTATGGTTTCAACCTGCTTCCACTATCCATGCTGACGTATGGATCTATTTATCTTACTATCCATGCTGACGTATGGATCTCTTATATTTTACTATCCATGCTGATGTATGGATTCTTCTTGCCTTTTACTATCCATGCTGACGTATGGGTTTTACTTGTTTTTTCAATCCATGCTGACGTATGGTTTCAACCTGCTTCCACTATCCATGCTGACGTATGGATCTCTTATATTTTACTATCCATTGCTGACGTATGGATTCTTCTTGTCTTTTACTATCCATGCTGACGTATGGGTTTCACTTGATTTTTCTTGTCATCTTATATTCATACTAACGTGTGAACTATCTCAGTATTTTATTATCCATGCTAACAAATGGTCTACTGTGCCTTTTACTATCCATACTGACGTATGGAAATTCTTTGTCTAAATACTTTCCATGCTTACGTATGGAATTTCTTGTTGCTTTATTATCCATGCCTACGTATGGTCTACGTACTTGCCTTTTACTATCCATGCTGACGTATGGAATTTCTTGTGTTTTCACTATTTATCCATATGCTTATGTATAAATTTTTACCATGCTGACTTATGAATTATTCATTTGCTTTTACGTATGCTGACGTATATATTGTATTGATCTTAAATTTTTGCATCATTAAATTTTGTGCTTACCAATACTAAATCATATGTTTATTCAGTTAAATTATACTTTGGTATGCCAATTCGATACAAATTCTACACATTAGCCTTTGTATCTTATCCCCCAAGTTTTAATTTTTATATTTATATGAAAAGGGGGATAACTCAATTTTAATTTCTAAAGTGTCAAACAGCTGTTAGTCCCCAGTTTTTCCAAGTTGTAATTTGTTTATGTAAATATGTATATATGTTGTTAGATTAGAATGCTTAGTTCGTAATAAAATGTTTCTTTTATCCTATTGTTGTTAACATATATAGATTCAAAGTATGAGAGAGGTGCTGGTATAAATCCGTGAGACAGCAAAAACGAATAGAATCTTGTATACATGTTCTTAGAAGCAGCATCAGTTCAAACTTGGCAATAGTTTATTTAATACTGCAGTATAGGACTTATAAGTTGGTATAGTTTGCTCAGGTCACAATGTTGTTGGTCTTTAAGTCATGCAAGAAATAGTAATAGGTTGGTAAAGTTCAAAAGATTGGCTTTCTTAATACATGTATCCAGTTCTGTTATTGTGGTATATGACATGAGACATTTACTAGTTTGTTCGTACATGTAGATATCTGTATATTGTCTTCATTTTACATTTGGAAATAACTGGTCTATAAACTAGAATATATATGGTTTAGGGGTGGGGATCTCGACCATTTACAAGATATTAGAACTTTCTCAAATGGCCGGGGGTCGGGCTGACCCCTTGGGACTAACCCTGTATATCATTCAAACCATCTTAGCTTGACAAACCAAAATATATATGGTTTAGGGGTGGGGATCTCGACCATTTACAAGATATTAGAATTTTCTCAAATGGCAAGGGATCGGGATGACCCCTGGGGACTAACCCTGTATATCATTCAAACCATCTTAGCATGACAAACCAGAATATATATGGTTTAGGGGTGGGGATCTTGACCACTTAATAGATATTAGAACTTTTTTAAATGGCATGGGTTGGGGTGACCCCTGGGGACTAACCCTGTATTTCATTTGATGTGCTTTATCATGACACTAGAATATATATGGTTTAGGGGTGGGGATCTTGACCATTTACAAGATATTAGAACTTTCTCAAATGGCAGGGGGTCGGGATGACCCCTGGGGACTAACCCTGTATATCATTCAAACCATCTTAGCATGACAAACCAGAATATATATGGTTTAGGGGTGGGGATCTTGACCACTTACAAGATATTAGAACTTTTTTAAATGGCATGGGGTGGGGGTGACCCCTGGGGACTAACCCTGTATTTCATTTGATGTGCTTTATCATGACAAACCAGAATATATATGGTTTAGGGGTGGGGATCTCGACCATTTACAAGATATTAGAACTTTCTCAAATGGCAGGGGGTCGGGATGACCCCTGGGGACTAACCCTGTATATCATTCAAACCATCTTAGCATGACAAACCAAAATATATATGGTTTAGGGATGGGGTTCTTGACCATTTACAAGGTATTAGAACTTTCTTAAATGGCAGGGGGTGGGGGTGACCCCTGGGGACTAACCCTGTATTTCATTTAATTGGCTTTATCATTTAGAACATTTTCAATTAAAAAGATTGTGTCTATCACAAACAGTTTTCAATTTATAATCATTTGAAAATTTTTAAAAATAAAATCCCATAGGGTTCTATAGTAAAACCCTCTTTTCTTTTTGCCCCTCAAAGTACCCCTTTATAAACCCCATTGCACAAACAAAACCCTGATTGCACCACTAGACATGTTAGTCTAACATATTGTGAAACCCTAAGTTAATCTGACAAGTGGTTTTGGAGAACGGGTGCGGACAAGTTCAAATTTAAAAGCGGCGGAAGAAGAAGAAGAATAATAATAATAATAAGAACTGAGCAAAAACAATAAGTCTTCCCAAACTTCGTTTGGGAGACTTAAAAATATGAAAGCAATTGGTTTAAAAATTTGCAAAACATTAATATCTATATATTAAGATTTCAGGGATTGTGACATTATTCATAAAACACAAAACTCACCCTTCCTGGTCCAACTCTTGTTGGTGATGGGGCACTAGTTAGCATGTTAGGTGATGTAAAAATATGAAGAGTTTCACTAAAGGATCGTGGCCTCTTTTGTACTTCTGGCATCATGGGCTCGTCCTGTAAGACAAAAAATGTAATTGCTTATGTACTTTTGACCTTAAAGCTCAGACCCTTCCCATCAGAAACAAAAGAAACATATTAATGCACTTCTTACATCATAGGTCAGTGTGTCAGATAAAAACTGTAGATGTTAATGTTAAACACAAATTTTTAAATCAAATTAAGCTTCTTTCCTTTGCCAAGTTTGGCATGATCTCTCAAACCAGGATGTAGCTGTTGAAGCCCATTAATCATCATACAAGAAAGCATGATTTTCATTACAAAATCATATGGTCTCCTCCGGGACTCCAACCTAATAAATCTACTACATGTATTAAGGGAAGCAATCCTGTCACAACTTCAACTTATTTTTTGTGCAATGATTGACATGTATGAAACAATGTTTTATCAGGAGGCAAATGTAATGTCTAAAAGAAGACTGAGGATTGACAGGTATGAAACAATGTTTACCCAGGAGGCAAATGTAATGTCTAGATTGACAGGTATGAAACAATATTTACTCAGGAGGCAAATGTAATGTCTAAAAGAAGACTGAGGATTGACATGTATGAATCAATGTTTACTCAGGAGGCAAATGTAATGTCTAAAAGAAGACTGAGGATTGACAGGTATGAATCAATGTTTACTCAGGAGGCAAATGTAATGTCTAAAAGAAGACTGAGGATTGACAGGTATGAAACAATATTTACTCAGGAGGCAAATGTAATGTCTTAAAAGAAGACTGAGGATCGACATGTATGAAACAATGTTTACTCAGGAGGCAAATGTAATGTCTTAAAAGAAAACTAAAAAATCCATTTTTAATTCCTATTAAGAGGTTGCACTTCTGTAAATATAGACAATGCAATTTCCCATAGGAACTCCCTTTGCGGCTAAAACTGTGCCACTTTTACTATGAAGTTTCGTAAAAAATTATATCTAGAACGGAAAGTTGATATGCACTACTTTTTTATTCAAAGGTCAAAACATAAGGCTGTGCGGCATATTTTCAACAATTATATGCCCCAAACTTCTAAGAGTTCAAACTTATACTAAAATTCTGTACTACCCCTACTTTCACTTTGGGTCTGCCTGAGAATTCAATTTTCGCCGCTACCAAGTGTTTTTATACTGGTAACATTCCCAAGTTATGTCTCTATGAGATGAAACATAGAGATCATATCTGGGAACCAGTACGTAAACAAAACAAAATATCTATGAATATTATATATCTCCCCAAAAGAGGCGTGTCTTGTGAAACAACTGTATTTACAAAGTGCAACCTAGAAGTCATTATTCCAAAGGAAATTCACTTGATAAAATAAATGTAAACTTCCAATGATTTCTCAATTGATAATATCATTTCAAACTTACAATAACTTGATTTTTTATCAAAACAATGGAAACCTGCAATAACTAGAGATTTTATATAAACAATGGAAACATATGTGTTTGTTAAGACAAGACTCTCACATAGACGACACCAAGGGAAGTGTTTTTAAAATTTTAATCATTTATTTTCTTGAAATGACTCACACTTACCAAGAAAAATCTTTCATCTATGTCAATATTTAAGTTTTTTTGTTTCTTTAAAAATTAGAGTCTCTAAAGAGCCTGTGTCACTCACCTATCTCTAAGTGCATTAACAAAAATGGACACACTCCTACAATGTGGGCTAGATTAAAATTCATGACAAAAATCTCTTTTTTGTTGTTCTTATATTAATAACTTTTTCACAAAAAAGGGTAAAAATAATTGTCATTTAAGGGCAATCACTCCTATAAAGTTGACTAACGAATTCAGCAAAATTTAACTTATTTGTAGATATTGTCTTGCTTATCATTTTTGCTTATTTAAATGTCTATCTATCCTTTAAAGTTTTCAAGATGAAAGGCAATAAACGCCAAAAATTGACATTAAAGAGCAAGAACTCCAATAAGGAGTCAACTGATATTTTCAACCATGTTGACTAATTTGTACATCTTATTTTGCTGATCATTTTTACTGTTGAAAGTGTTTATCTATCAATTATAATTTTCAAGGATATAGGAAAAACACAAAAAATGGGTAAAAATAGTAATTAAAGAGCAATAACTCCAATAAGGAGTCAACTGACGATTTGGACCATCATACTTATTTGTAGATCTTTTGTTTTGCTGATCATTTTACATATTTTCAGTTTTTCGTTTATCCATTATGTGATTATAGTTTTTATGATATTAGGCAAAATTGCAAAAAAAAAATTGGTAAAAATAGTTATTATAGGGCAATAACTCCAATAATGAGTTTTAGGACGATTATAACCATAAAGACTTATTTGTAGATCTTGTCTTGCTGATCATTTAGTTAGTATCTATCTATTATAGTTTTTAAAGTATTCGGCAAAAACGAAAGATATTGGTAAAAATCATCATTAAAGGGCAATAACTCCTGTAAGACGTCGTCTGAAAGTTTTAGTGTAGATAAACAAAAAGTAGATCTGAACATTCTGAACATTCTGACATTATTGTCCCTGTCAGACTTTCTCTATTTATAGCGGATTTCAAGATAAAAGACAAAACTTGCATTTTAGCCCTATGTTATATTTTTATCCATGTCAGCCATGTTGGTTGGCAGACAGGGTCATAGGACACATTTTTTTTAACTAGATACTCAATGATGATTGTGGCCAAGTTTGGTTAAATTTGCAAAGTAGTTTCAGAGGAGAAGATTTTTGTAAAAGATGACGAAGACAGACAATAGACGATGACAACGGATGATGGACAACGGACGCCAAGTGATGAGAAAAGTTCATTTGGCCCTGTGGGCCAGTTGAGCTTAAAAGGAAATGCAGCTAGGAAGGAAACTTAACTTTTAAAGATTTTCTGTTTCTTGAACAAAATGAATTGCCATGGATAAATTATTGTACAATTTTAACAGGTTTTCTACACTTACCAAGGAGAAATCATTCCATGATGTTGACATTTTCAGCTGTGAACAAATATCTCTGCAAGAGAAATACATTCACATGGCAGTACAGTTTTACATTCCAAGGTCATAGGTAATGAATTTCAATATATTTGGTGTATTTATTTTATTAAGCGCCACTGATAAAAGTCGGATACAAAAGTTAGAAATCAAAGAGAATGTAAGCACTGAAGGGTAAAGATTACATTCATTTTGCAGTGGAAACTGAAAATTGAACAATGCAATGTATTAAGCATTAGAAGGCCTTACAATGAATTCGAGATATAATTTTAGTTATTTTAACTACAATCATGACAATTTATATGTATAAAGTAAGATAACTCCAATTTTAAATACTTCTTGAACAATTAACATCAATGATATTTTTAGAACAGCTACTTGATTCTTACACCATGCACAATGTATGTAATTTTCTTGACAAGAATGGTTATACACATACACATGATTTTGTAACTTGATTATCTGAGTATACATATCATTGATAAATTTCTTGAAATTTTCATAGGTAAGATTTATAGAATGTTGTGCTCAATGCAATATGTTTTGTGTATTTCAAAAGTTGTGATAACATATATATGCAAAAATGATATTTTCTATGAATTAAATGTAGAAACTGCTGTCTCATGTAGATTTGTATTGATTTTTTCTTCCGCACAGGGCAGATCCGCGAAGTAGTGTTTGTGATACCCATTTTCAAAATGAAGTTGAATTCATTTGAATTGTCGGTGAACATTCAGTCCATTTTTATTCAAGCTGTAAGCTTATCAAAAAAGTAGTAACTCAAAATTTCAAAAGAATCTTCCTACAATTAGTATTCAAACACTAGTACTACATTATCTAGGAGTAGAACACCGGAAGTAAGTTAGTCTGTCCTACTTCCAGTTTGAGGCCGATGCCTTAGGAAAGTATATTGCTATAGCAAGCTATAGCAAACTTTCCAATAAGGTGAAGGACAATGGACGTATGACAGACGGAAACTTTTTAACTTAAGGTATCTGCATACAAGGTAAGAAGCATTCAGGTCTTCTACTCTACTTTCTGAAATATAAAGCTTTATACAAATAGTTAACACCGCCACTGCTGGATAGTAATCCTTTTTACTCGCATACTACGATTTTCGTCACAGTTGAGACAAAAAAATGGTAAAATTTCTTCATCTTAGGTCATTAACTCTTACAGAAGTGGTCTGGCAGTTTTGATGTAAATAGACAGTAGGTAGATCTCAACATTCTGAACAATTCTGCCCGTGTCAGCTGTAGATTTTCTAAAGCTATAGATATATATTCAAGATAATAGACAAAACTTATAACTCCTATGTTCTAATTCTAACCATGTTGGTTGGCAAGCAGAATCATCGGACACAATTTTAAAATACCAAAATGATGATTGTGTCCAAGTCTGGTTAAATTTGGCCCATTGGTTTAAGAGAAGATTTTTGTAAAAGTTAACAGATGACGGCAACGGATGCCAAGTGAAAAGAATAACTCACTTGGCCCTTCGTGCCAGGTGAGCTTAAAAAATTTGTAAGGGTTCCGCGGAACCCAGTGTCTCGCCTACTTTTTCTGTTAATGGCAGGCTCAACAAAAATGAGGAAGTAAATCAATAAAAATATTCCTCTTGATACTATCTTTTGATTGTAAGAAGCTTCTGTCCAAGTTTGGTAAAAATCCAGGATAGTTTATGAATCTAATAAATGTTAAAAAACTTTAACTGCAGACTGAATGTAATGTTAACTGGAAGAAAACAAAATTTCCTTCTAGATACTAGCATTTGATCATAAACAAGCTTCTGTCCAAGTTTGGTACAAATCCAAAATAGTATAAGAAAGTTATTAAAATTTTAAAAACTGTAACCATAGAGTGAATGTGTTGTTTCCTGGCAGAAAATCTAAGTCCATTCAAAAGTAAAATACGGGAAAATGGATTTATTTTTTTACAAAATTTCCTTCTAGATACTAGCTTATAATCATAAACAAGCTTCTGTCCAAGTTTGGTAGAAACCCAGGATAGTTTAAGAAAGTTATTAAAATTTTAAAAACTTTAACCACAGAGTGAATATAATATTTCCCGGCAGAAAAACTAAGTCCATTTATAAGTAAAATACGGAAAAAATGAAATTTTATTTTTACAAAATTTACTTCTGGATACTATCTTATGATCATAAATAAGCTTCTGTCCAAGTTTGGTAGAAATCCAGGATAGTTTAAGAAAGTTATTAAAATTTCAAAAACTTTAACCACAGAGTGAATATTTGTGGACGCCGCCGACGACGCCGACGGAATGTAGGATCGCTATGTCTCGCTTTTTCGACTAAAGTCGAAGGCTCGACAAAAAGTGTAGACAAGTACAATTTTCATGATATTTTCTGAGGGCTGTATTTCTATAAAAAAAAATTGTGAATCAAAACAATCTTCAAATCATCTTTATATACAGATGTCCTAAAAATCAGCTCAAGGTCTGTAGGCATCATTGAAAAGTGTCCCGACTTTAAGCCCAAGTGTCATAACTAAACCAATATTTTAAACCAATCAACCTGAACCAAACCTCAATTTCATTTGTAAGTCATCATTATACACTAATAGGCCAAATATCAAATTACTATCTGTAGTGACAGTCATCATGAAAAAAGGTCTTGACAATTTGTTCATTTCATAATGAGGAAAGGACAGAAAAATATTCCCTGTTTCTTAATGCAAGGAGATAAAAATAAAATATCTTGGTTAATTAAAGAGCCTTAGAGGTCAAGCATAAAATTAAGTAGCAATCAAATATGATGTTCTTCAAACACTTTGAGTTAGAAATCTATAATACAAAGTAACATCGCAAACAATCATTTTTTTCTTGCAAAAACAACAAAAATAAAAAGTCATGAAATTTAAGCTACAGTAGTTGATATTCTAACATAGTAACAAATTAAAAATAAAGATTTTAAATGTGGAGGCTATGATCATTTTATTTTATTTGGAGGCTATGATTATTTTATTTTACCTCTCTTGTTCTTTTTCTTTTTCTGCAACTGTAACAAAACTCTCTTCTCTTTTGATTTCATTCACTCTGTTTGGTATTTTAACAGGTGCCTGCAATACATATAAAATTAAGGGATGTCAAGGAGTACTCCAGTATAGTTTGGTAGTATCCATCCAGTATTGAATACTATTATACTAATACTTGCCTGCGTCCTTCCTTCTTTTCATAAAATTGATTTTCCAGAGAATGTAACTTTATCTAAAAATATGTTTGTCTATTGTAAGTAATTCCTATCAAACTACCTTAAGTAGAAAACTTAACATTGTAAATTGGTATTTATTGAAAGTCACTGGACCATGGCAGGGCATCTAGTTGTCAAACTGATATGTACTGATAGTAATGCAAATTTATAGAAAATATCATTGATCTATCACAAATATTTCCTACCAAACTGACTTAAGTGGAAACTTAACATTGAAAATTGCTTATTAATTGAAAGATGATGATGAACTATGATCTAGGGTGCAGGGCCTCAAAATAGTCGTAAAACTGATATGTACTGTTAGTAATGCATTTTTTATAGAAAATATCATTGATCTCTCACAAATAGTTCCTATCAAACTGATTTAAGCAGAAACTTATCATTGAAAATTGCTTAGTAATACATGTAGAAAGTCAATGGACCATGACCTAGGGGGCAGGGCCTCAAAATAGTTGTCAAACTGATATGAACTGATATTTATCCAACTTTATAGAAAATATCACTGATCTATCACAAGTAGTTCCTTTCAAACTAACTCAAGCAGAAACTTAACACTGAAATATATATATTAATAAATTAAAAGTCACTGGACCATGCTTTAGCAGACAGGGCTTCAAAATAGTCGTCAAACTGATATGTACTGATAGTAATGCAACTCATACAAAATATCACTGATCTATCAGAAGTAGTTCCTATCAAACTAACTTAAGCAAAAAACTTTACAATTGTTGATGATGTGGTTGCCTGAAAAGCAATTCCTATGTCTCGCCTTGCGTGACTTTCGTTGCAGGCGACACAAATACAAACAGATTCCTGCTCCAACATGAAGAAGATCGTCTATATTTTCACCAATATTAGTCAAATAAAGGCAGAATATTATATATATATATTTCTTATTAAAAACAGACAGATTCCTGCTCCTAATGAAGAAGATCCTCTTTATGTTCACTTATATTGGTCAAATAAAGGAAGCATATCATATGTATTTTTATTAATAACAAGAGTGCACATGCTGAAATGTTGCGCCTTCTTTACTAACCATTGATATTATGTTGAAAGTTCTAAATATAAAGCTTTACTAAAACTATGACATAAACTTAACATGATCCAAGAAAATGAGGTCACAGGTCAGATAAACCAAACTGAAAATACATGTACATTTACAATCATTCCATACACCAAATATGCTTTAGATATACATGTAGTTGACCTATTGCACAACTTAGAAACAAAATTAACCAGGAAAACTTAACATTGATCAATGAACCATGCAATTAGGTCAAGGTCAGATGAACCCTGCCAGACAGACATGTATACCTTACAATCATTACATGCTTTAAATTTAGTTGACCTTTTGCATAAAGTATCCAAGAAACAAACTTAACCAGGAAAAATTAAAATTGACCAATGAACCATGAAAACGTGGTCATGGTCAGATGATAATTGCCAGACAGACATATACACCTTACAATCATTCCATACACCAAACATAGTTGACCTATAATGAGTATTGCTAAAAGTATAAGAAAAACAGACCAAATAAAATGCTTCGCTGGGCGCAGCTTGATACGACCGCAGAGGTCGAACCCTGAACAGTTGGGGCAAGTATGGACACAACATTCAAGCTTGATACAGCTCTGAATTTGGATTGTGATTAAATATTTGACACAGCATAGGTTTCTGACACAGAAAGAATGTGGTCTAAGAACTTCAATTTTTTTAATTTACCTATTATGGTCCAATGTCCAAAATCAAAATACATGGTTAGATTCAGCATATCAAAGAACCCCATATATTCAATGTTTGTTGAAATCAAACAAAGTTTAGTTTTGGACCCCAACTTGGACAAACTTGAAAACTGGTCCCATAATCAAAAATCTAAACACATGTTTAGATTCAGCATATCAAAGTACCCCAAGAATTCAATTTTTGTTAAAATCAAACTAAGTTTAATTTTGGACCCTTTGGACCTTAATGTAGACCTATTTAAAAAACTGGACCAAAAATTAAAAATCTAAAAACACGGTTACATTTGGCATAACAAAGAACCCCAATAATTCAATTTTTGATGAAATCAAACAAAGTTTAATTTTGGACCCTTTTGTCCTCAATATGAACCAATTTGATAGCGGGCCCACAAATAAAAAATCTAAATACATGGTAAGATTCAGCATATCAAAGAACCCCATATATTCAATTTTTGTTGAAATCAAACAAAGTTTAATTTTGGACCCCAATTTGGACCAACTTGAAAACTTGGCCAAAAATCTAAAATCTAAATACATGTTTAGATTCAGCATATCAAAGAACCCCAAGAATTCAATTTTTGTTAAAATCAAACTAAGTTTAATTTTGGACCCTTTGGACCTTAATGTAGACCTATTTAAAAAACTGGACCCAAAATTAAAAATCTAAAAACACGGTTACATTTGGCATATCAAAGAACCCCAATAATTCAATTTTTGATGAAATCAAACAAAGTTTAATTTTGGACCCTTTTGACCTCAATATGAACCAATTTGATAGCGGGCCCACAAATAAAAAATCTAAATACATGGTAAGATTCAGCATATCAAAGAACCCCACATATTAATTTTTTGTTGAAATCAAACAAAGTTTAATTTTGGACCCCAATTTGGACCAACTTGAAAACTTGGCCAAAAATCTAAAATCTAAATACATGTTTAGATTCAGCATATCAAAGAACCCCAAGAATTCAATTTTTGTTAAAATCAAACTAAGTTTAATTTTGGACCCTTTGGACCTTAATGTAGACCAATTTAAAAATGGGACCCAAAATAAAAAAATCTAAATACACGGTTAGATTTGGCATATCAAAGAACCCCAATAATTCAATTTTTGATGAAATCAAACAAAGTTTAATTTTGGACCCTTTTGACCTCAATATGAACCAATTTGATAGCGGGGTCCACAAATAAAAAATCTTAATACATGGTTAGATTCAGCATATCAAAGAACCCCATATATTCAATTTTTGTTGAAATCAAACAAAGTTTAATTTTGGACCCCAATTTGGACCAACTTGAAAACTGGGCCAAAAATCAAAAATCTAAATACATGTTTAGATTCAGCATATCAAAGAACCCCATATATTCAATTTTTGTTAAAATCAAACAAAGTTTAATTTTGGACCCTTTGGACCTTAATGTAGACCAATTTGAAAATTGGACCCAAAATTAAAAATCTAAATACACGGTTAGATTTGGCATAACAAATAAATAAATGTGGTCAAAGATTTTACAAATCTAATGTGCCATACTGTGCAATTAAAGATTACTTCTTGAAATTTTTCAATATTTGAAATTTGAAAAAAAAATAATATTTGAAGAATAATTCTTTTTAATTTCTGAAATCTGAAATGAGAAAAAATTGACCCCCCACAATTTCTTTTTACCCCCCCCCCCCCCTTTTTTCCCCCAAAAATTCTTTCCCTCAAGATATGGTCATAATCTCAATTCAAATTTCCAATGGAGTTTGCAACCATAATTACCCATTTAAATTTACCATAGTGCTAACTTAATCTATTTTATAATAGAATTTAAAATATAGTGTCAAATCTTTCATATGGATTTTTTTGTAAAAAAAAAGTTGCAGATATGTTTACTGGTCTTCCTTTATAAATATGCATTTCTTTAAACATAATTTAAAAGCAGTGTAAGGAAAGTAACCAAAACGTTGTATTTGGATTACCTCCCTTACACTGTTTTAAATTATCTTAATTGTTCATTAACCATTACTATATACATAATTTAAAAGGGAGATAATTTCAATGATGTATTTGATTTATCTCCCTTACACTGCTTTAAATTATGTTTTGTACTAAAGTATTTGTCCATTAACTAGGACAACCTTGTTTTTCCCCCTTTTTTGCCCCTAATTCTTAAACGGTTCGAGCCATAACCCCCCAAAGCAAATCCTAACCATCCCTTTGTGGTATGGAAACCTGTAGTATAATTTCAGAGAGATCCATACACCGTTCCACAGTTATTGTCTGGAAACTAGAAAATGCTTATTTTTGGCCCCTTTTTGGCCCCTAATTCCTTAACTGTTGGTACCATAACCCCCAAAATCAATCCCCACCTTCCTTTTGTGGTATTGAACCTTATGGTAAAATTTCATAGAGATCCATTCACTTAAACTAAAGTTAGAGTGCAAAAACTAATGCGTCTTCGGACGACAACGCCGGACGACGACAACGACGACGACACCAACGTCATACCAATATACGACCACAAAAATTTTTTTGCGGTCGTATAAAAACAAAAACTTAACATTGAGCAATGAACTGTAAAAATGAGGTCAAGGTCAAATAAAACATGCAAGACTGACATGTACATCGTAAAATATTTTCATACACCAATTATAGATGATCTATTGCATACAGTGTTAGAAAAACAGACAAAAACACAATAACTTAACTATAACCACTGAACCATGAAAATGAGGTCAAGGTCAGATCTATGACACCTGCCAGTTGGACATGTACACCTTACAATCATTCCATACACCAAATATAGTAGACCTATTGCTTATAGTATCTGAGATATGGACTTTACCACGAAAACTTAACCTTGTTCACTGATCCATGAAATGAGGTTGAGGTCAAGTGAAAACTGTCTGAAGGGCATGAGGACCTTGCATGGTATGCACATACCAAATATAGTTATCCTAGCCTATTACTCATAATAAGAGAGAAATTAACAATACTAAAAATCTTAACTTTTTTTTCAAGTAGTCACTGAACCATGAAAATGAGGTCAAGGACAATGGACATATGACAGATGGAAACTTCATAATATAAGGCATATATATACAAAGTATGAAGGATCCAGGTATTCTACCTTCTGAAATATCAAGCTTTTAAGAAGTTAGCTAACGCACCGCCAGATCATTATCCCTATGTCGAGCTTTCTGTGACAGAAGTAGCAGGCTCAACAAAAACAGACAGATTCCTACCCCAAAATGAAGAAGATCCTCTTTATTTTCACTAATATTGGTCAAATAAGATAAGCATAACCCTAACCCTAATTGCTTACATTCACTTCATTTGAACTTTGGTGGATAGTTGTCTCATTGGCAATCATACCACATCTCCTTATTTTTATATGTCGTATGTATATCATAAAAATAAATCACTGACTTGAATGAACCATTTAATAACTACCAATACTTACAGCTGTGGGAGAATTGAGAGACAGTGAACTAGAACTGAATCTTCTAATCCGTGAAGTATCACCAGCTTGTCTGAAGGTCTGTGTATGACTATGATGACTAAAACAGAAAGGATTTAAAGAATGTAATGTACTGACATGAACAAAAATACTGTAATGTACTGACATGAACAAAAACACTGTAATGTACCGACATGAACAAAAACACTGTAATATAATGACATGAACAAAAACACTGTAATGTACTGACATGAACAAAAACACTGTAATGTACCGACATGAACAAAAACACTGTAATATAATGACATGAACAAAAACACTGTAATGTACTGACATGACCAAAACACTGTCATAGACTGACATGAACAAAAACACTGAAACATACTGACATGAACAAAAACACTGTAATGTACTGACATGAACAAAAATACTGTAATGTACTGACATGAATAAAAATACTGTAATGTACTGACATGAACATAAACACTGTCATAGACTGACATGAACAAAAACACTGAAACATACTGACATGAACAAAAACACTGTAATGTACTGACATGAACAAAAATACTGTAATGTACTGACATGAACATTCACACTGTAATGTACTGACATGAACATAAACACTTTAATGTACTGACATGAACAAAAATACTGTCATGTACTGACATGAACATAAACACTGTAATGTACTGACATGAACAAAAACACTGTCATGTACTGACATGAACAATCAAAGCACTGTAAGCGCTGTAGGCAGTTAACCAAAAACCAAGGCAAACGTAATTATGAAAACTGTGGCAATGTTGCTTCAATTTTTTTTTAAGATTTGTAAGAACAAACATTAAACAATCGTATATTGTACATTTATGTTCAATAAATGAATTGATTATTAAGGCAAATTAATTAATATTTCATCAAGGTTTTCAAAAGCAACTCATATATCAATGTAAATGACCCCCATCTTCATCCCCAAGTGCATGATGTGACTCCATACCTAGTTTGGAATAAAATGACAGGTGATTATAAAACAGTTGGTCAAACATTCTTGGGCTTTACACTGCTTGAAAGATTTAAATGTTTTCTTTAAAATGAGCCATAAATGAAAATTATGATAGGCCCAGAAATAATTTAATAAACAATTAAAGTAAATTCAATAATCTAGACTCATTTTTTGCATCAAATTTTTTTTATAATAAACAAGAAATAATTGTAACAGGATGCCGTTACGAAGTCTCCCAAACAAAGCCCCCATAATTCGTCATTCCTATGGTCTCCTGACATTGGGCAAAGTCCAGTTCATATTGGTTTGGTCTAGTAAAGTGATATGCATATGTGACACCAAGGAGATTGACCCTGTATGTCATTCAAATCTTTTTGAAATGATGAACAGGAATAAATATGGTTTAGATGTGGGTATCTCGACCGTTTACAAGTTCTCAAACAGGAGGGGGTGGGGTGACCCCAGGGACTCCCCCTATATTTCATTTGATTTGTTATATTGTCCCATACATGAATACATATGGTTTAGGGGTGGGGATCTCGAGCATTTCCAAGTTCTCAAACAGGAGGGGGTGGGGTGACCCCAGGGACTCCCCCTATATTTCATTTGATTTGTTATATTGTCCCATACATGAATACATATGGTTTAAGGGTGGGGATCTCGACCATTTCCAAGATCTCAAACAGGATGCGGTGGGGTGACCCCAGGGACTCCCCAAATATTTCATTTGATTTGTTATATTGTCCCATACATGAATATATATGGTTTAGGGGTGGGGATCTTGACTGTTTACAAGTTCTCAAACAAGAGGGGGTGGGGTGTCCCCATGGACTCCCCCTATATTTCATTTGATTTGTTTTATTGTCCAATACATTAATATATATGGTTTAGGGGTGGGGATCTCGACCATTTCCAAGTTATCAAACAGGAGGGGGTGGGGTGACCCGAGGAACTCCCCATATATTTCATTTGATTTGTTATATTGTCCCATACATGAATATATATGGTTTAGGGTTGGGGATCTTGACTGTTTACAAGTTCTCAAGCAGGAGGGGCGGGGGTGTCCCCAGGGACTCCCCATATATTTCATTTGATTTGTTTTATTGTCCCATACATGAATGTATATGGTTTAGGGGTGGGGATCTCAACCATTTCCAAGTTCTCAAACAGGAGGGCTTGGGGTAACCCCAGGGACTCTCCCTATATTTCATTTGGTTTGTTATATTGTCCCATACATGAATATATATGGTTTAGGGGTGGGGATCTCGACCGTTTACAAGTTCTAAAACAGGAGGGGGTGGGGTGACCCCAGGAACTCATTCTATATTTCATTTTTGATTTGTTTTTTTGTCCCATACATGAATATATATGGTTTAGGGGTGGGGATCTCAACCATTTCCAAGTTCTCAAACAGGAGGGGGTGGGACGATACTGGGGACTCCCCCAAATTATTTTCATTTGATTTCTTTTATTGTCCCATTCAAGTATATATATTTTAAGTGTGGGTATCTCGTCCGTTTACAATTTCTCAAACAGGAGGGGGTTGGGTGACCCCAGGGACTCCCCTATATTTCATTTGATTTGTTATATTGTCCCATACATGAATACATATGGTTTAGGGGTGGGGATCTCGACTGTTTGCAAGTTCTCAAACAGAAAGGGGTGGGGTGACCCCATGGACTCCCCCTATATTTCATTTGTTTTGTTATATTGTCCCATACATGAATATATATGGTTAAGGGGTGGGGATCTCGACCGTTTACAAGTTCTCAAACAGGAGGGGTTGGGGTGACCCCAGGGACTCCCCATATATTTCATTTGATTTGTTTTATTGTCCCATACATGAATATATATGGTTTAGGGGTGGGGATCTCGACCATTTCCAAGTTATCAAACAGGAGGGGGTTAGGTGACCCGAGGAACTCCCCATATATTTCATTTGATTTGTTATATTGTCCCATACATGAATATATATGGTTTAGGGGTGGGGGTCTTGACTGTTTACAAGTTCTCAAACAGGAGGGGCGGGGGTGTCCCCAGGGACTCCCCATATATTTCATTTGATTTGTTTTATTGTCCCATACATGAATGTATATGGTTAAGGGGTGGGGATCTCAACCATTTCCAAGTTATCAAACAGAAAGGGGGGGGGTGACCCGAAGAACTCCCCATATATTTCATTTGATTTGTTATATTGTCCCATACATGAATATATATGGTTTAGGGGTGGGGATCTTGACTGTTTACAAGTTCTCAAACAGGAGGGGCGGGGGTGTCCCCAGGGACTCCCCTATATTTCATTTGATTTGTTTTATTGTCCCATACATGAATGTATATGGTTTAGGGGTGGGGATCTCAACCATTTCCAAGTTCTCAAACAGGAGGGGTTGGGGTGACCCCAGGGACTCCCCATATATTTCATTTGATTTGTTATATTGTCCCATACATGAATATATATGGTTTAGGGGTGGGGATCTCGACCGTTTACAAGTTCTCAAACAGGAGGGGGTGGGGTGACCCCAGGGACTCACTCTATATTTCATTTTTGATTTGTTTTATTGTCCCATATATGAATATATATGGTTTAGGGGTGGGGATCGACTATTTCCAAGTTCTCAAACAGGAGGGGGTGGGACGGTACTGGGGACTCCCCCAAATTATTTTCATTTGATTTCTTTTATTGTCCCATTCAAGTATATATATTGTTTAGGGGTGGGGAACGCGACGGTTTACAAGATAAAAGTACATCTTCAAATTGAAGGGGGTTGGGATGACCCCCAGGGACTCACCCTATATTTTGGTTGATTTTTTGTATTGTCCTGTTCTCATTACTGAAGACTGCATGTGTCTATCACCTACTGAGTCATTTGAAAATTTAAAAATATAAAAATCCCATAGGGTTCTATAGTAAACCCCTCCCTTCTTGAGGCCCCTCCAAATACCCCTAAATAGACCCCAATGCACAAACAAAAGATTAATGGCTCCGCTAGACTTGTTAGTCTCATATTTTTATGAAACCCTAAGTAAATCTGACAAACGGTCAAAGTTGTCTTCTTAGATGGTTTGAGTGGATTCGGTCCGACTTGTCTCGGGGACGAGTTGTCCACATTACCATTTTGCCATTTGGGAAATATAAACGACTTGTAATTACCGATTTTCGGCGATGAAATATTTCATACAATTGTTCTTTGACATCGTAGCCAAAAGCACAGGGGATAATAAACTACGTACGGATTTCTATTGAGCACTACTTCCTATGTGCAACTTCAAAAGTTTTGGGTAGTTCCACGATCATTTAAGGTTTTTCTGGTCATATTTTTTGTATTCCAGAAATAAAAGTATTAAAAAAATGTCCAATTAGTTATAAATAACATAATAGCCAGCTAGATAATAACAATGGCACGTATTTCAACATTTATTGGGTAGAACACAAATCTAGGGTGCTCGCATAAGGCAGCTTAACTGCCTAAAAATACTGTAATGTACTGACATGAACAAAAATACTGTAATGTACTGACATGAACATAAACACTGTCATGGACTGACATGAACAAAAACACTGTCATGGACTGACATGAACAAAAACACTGTAATGTACTGACATGAACAAAAACACTAATGTACTGACATGAACAAAATTACTGTAATGTACTGACATGAACATAAACACTGTAATGTACTGACATGAACATAAACACTGTCATGGACTGACATGAACAAAAACACTGAAACATACTGACATGAACAAAAACACTGTAATGTACTGACATGAACAAAAATACTGTAATGTACTGACATGAACATAAACACTGTCATGGACTGACATGAACAAAAACACTGTAATGTACTGACATGAACAAAAACACTGTAATGTACTGACATGAAAAAAAATACTGTAATATACTGACATGAACATTAACACTGTAATGTACTGACATGAACATAAACACTGTCATGGACTGACATGAACATAAACACTGTCATGGACTGACATGAACAAAAACACTGAAACATACTGACATGAACAAAAACACTGTAATGTACTGACATGAACAAAAATACTGTAATGTACTGACATGAACATAAACACTGTCATG